TCGACACTAACATATATATTTTTTTATATCAAATTCATCTCTTGTTTTAAACACACAGTGTTTGATTATGGCTCGATAATTTACGAATAAACACAATATAAGTTCTTTCAGTTGATCTAAAATCAAAGTTGGAATGTGGAACGAGAAAACAACAAAATAAATAAATGACGCTTACATGTCAGGACGGTTTCGTTGTTGAAATTCAGAGACACGTTAGGTCCACATGCGTAATATTGTCCCGGTGTAAAACTATTGGTGTGCTAAATCGAATTCAGAATAGGATTACAGCGAGCTGACTAAATCCAGCATGTTTCGTTCAAAAATAGATTGTCGGTAATCATGTTTTGTCTCAGCTTCGTCTTATACCTTGAATGCAATTGCAACTTTTCTTGTATCACGGAATGCAACTATTTGATTGGATTGTGTGCCAGCTCATACAGCCAATCAGATCCCTCGATAGAAAGGCTGTACACATTATATATGCGAACTCTCTGTCGAGTGAATTGACAGCTCTGATTGGATGTATTCGGTAGGGTACAATCCAATCAAATCACTGCATTAACAAACTTCCGTGATACGAGGTGACAATTGCGGTCAAGGTATGAGACGAAGGTCATATTAGCTTGATATTGCGAAGATGGGACTATCTGTATCTATCAAGAAGTAGAAACTAACCTACCATAGAAGGATGCCACAGACAAAACCAAATCGGCAGATAATAACATACACACTTGAACTACAGAAAAAAACTAGGGTTCGACAGAACCATTTGATATTGAACTAGTTCATGGATATAATTTTAATAAAATTCGTAACAAGTGGGCGTTGTTTCACCCATTGAAGGACAACTCGAGAAATGTAGATGGCTTCAATTCAGGTCAATCAACCGATTACTCATTCGATGAATATGTTCCTGTTAACAAGTGAGTTCAAGTGAATTATGTAAGAGATAGAAGTCATACGAGAACATCAGTTACGAAACACTACACTAACACTCCGTGTTATTATGATAACTAGTTATATAACTAGACTCGTATACAGGGTTATTTCAGGACAAATAATTAAGTACAGCTCTCGCTGCACGAGAGATCGATTGAAAATGTTTTTGATCTTAAAGTTGTGTAGTCCCTTTCCTTGTCCCCATAGCATTGCGTAAAACTCTATTTCTTATCATGTACAATCGCCTTTTATTGAATTGTAACTTCAATCACCTTAACCCTCCCCCAGGTACGTAAAATTCTGATGACTGTGCCAGTGCTTTCGAGAGTTGGCCCGGTGTCGGCTCTCGCCTCCTAATACCTAGTCCATAATATTATGTTCCGAAAACTCAAGAGAACATTCGATTAACATGGTGTAACTGAATTTAAGCGACCCCGTATATCGTCCTATGTAAATAGAGCGCAGTAGTTCCCGATACCCATTATTATGCAATATCACACAAATCATCCAAAACTAAACAATCCCACAATTTTTTCATATAATTTTAAGCGGTATTCAATGCATACCAATAAATGGCATATTTATGTTTATTATATGCACGATAGTAATGTTCTATATAGGGTGCCCCTCTAATAAAGACTGGAAAACCTTTTTAAAGACTTAATTCCACTCTCTAGCGTTTTCGTTTTTAAATATATATAGACATTAATAGCACAATTCAAAAGAAACCAAAAAAAAACAAAAAGTAAGTAAAAAAGTATGACATTTAGATGCCAATATTTCGAATTTATGTGATATTTTATTCACGTGTATTTTTTTTTGAGCCGTGTCATTCACCGTAATATTTTATGTAACGGTATCGTGGATGTTCACGGGTGCATGATGTTTCATACGTATACATTACTTCACTTAGAATATTCATTTACATAAAACATATGGTCTTTTGTGTAAATGGTTTTTGGAAACTTTGAGGTTTGTTTTTTAAACTCAGTTGCCAGCAATGTGGTTTTGCCAAACCTTTTTGCTGTCAATATTATCTTCAATGCGTAATTTGCTACCAATGCTGCTTTGCGAAACTGGTTTTCTAAGGAAAAGCGCCGCGAAATTCATCTGCTACCAAAGTGGCTTTGCCAAACTTGTTATTTACTGACAAAATTTGAGAAATTTATATTTGCTACAAACCCTTTGATTAACGTACTTTACTATCAATGCTGCTTTGGCAAATAGCTTCGTGAAGTTCATTTGCTATCGATAAACTTTGTTAAGCGTATTTGCATCGTAATTCGGAATCCATTCTGGTTTGTGAACTGAAATTTTTTTATGAGCAAATTAAGAAGGCAGAAAGCTTTTTGCACTCTTTATGTGATCTGAAAAGTGTTTTGATAATAGTTTATAAAGATATGTCACAATATTCTCATTTTGTAGCGCATTTGCTACGTACTTCGCAACCCTTTCTTGTCGTGAACTGAAGTTTTTCGCTTGTTATTTGAATATTAGTTTTTTTTTTGGCATATATCAGTTTTGTCCAATTACATTTCATTAAAGTCTTTGAATGACATTTAGCAATTGTGAGTAGGGTATATATGAAATGTTTATATAGACATCAGCTTTATGGAACAACATTCACTGGTTAAAGTTTGATGCAACGTTTCGACGTGTGTGCCTGAGGACGACGGGGGAAACACGGCGAAACGTTGCATAAAACTTTAACCAGTGATTGTTGTTCCATAAAGCTGTGTCTATATATACATTTCATTAGCCCACATTATGCAGAAAAGTAGGGCGTAAAACTCATTTCATTATCAATTATTTTTAATGACATTCAATATTATAGTTCTTGCTCTGTCAGTTTATGTGTTCGTTTTACCAGTAAATTTGAATAACAATCGTTTTTACAGATTACTGTTTTTTATGATTTTAATTAGTAGTTATAGTTGTTATATTTAAATATTAGATATTGATGAACATCAGAAAACATGTTACTAAAAGCATTCAATTTCATTAAAATATGAGTATTTCAAATATGTTTAGTCTCAATTACAGCTCTGTTCTAATAACGTTATTTGTTAACCAATGAAAGGGTGTCATGTGGGACCCGTTTCTTGCTTGCAATGACAATTTTTTGGATAGCGATTCCAAAAATAGAGTAATTTGAGAGCCTTTTTGTGTTTCTCTGTATCACAATTCGTCATTGTTATCAATTAAGTAACATCAACATATAATTGAAATTACGAAAGCACAGGCCGAGGTAAAATTCAATTAGAGTAACACTTTCGAATCTTATATTTGTATCCTCAATGACTTTCTAAATGACTGGTTTATCCTTGAAATGTACCCGGAACCACATAAGTAAAATGAGATGAGTAGTACTGACAGTAATCATATACTGTTGGAATTTTAATATGCTGTGCAATAAAGTGTCGTAGGTTGGAATCCTTCAATAAGGAAGACAAATTTCTGATCAACGGTCAATGATTTCGAGAGTCTTTTTACAGCTTGTTATCGACCTCTTACCACTAAATATATAAAGTGACATATTTCGAATCTTTCAAGGCAAACCATAGCTTTTCGAGAGTCGTCTTTAAAGTAGCAAGTAGTGTTGTCGAATCTTTGTGCTTATAGTTGCCGCCTATTCGATTTCCTCTATACCTACGTATCTTCCGAATCCAACGCCAGTGCTTTCGAGACCAAGTTTCATTGACTATCAATATGTCATATTACACATCCACTTAGAACATACCCTGATGTAAATTAACCTACATCACGAGCCAGTGTCAATTAGCATTCAGTTTTTAATTGGAAGCAAAATCGATGACTCAACCGTCCGTTTTTATCCCACACGGATGACGTCATTGTTATTTGTGTAGAAAATCGACCAGATCGCCGCTGTCCATTAAGAGTACATCACGTGACAATTAGAACATGTAAATAACTCAATTTACCAGCGTTTAAACGATAGAATGACCGATGATATATTTTCAAGAGTTTTTGTCGCCATAGTAACGAGTGATAAGGATACTAGTGTTTTTGAAGTGCCGTGGACATGCCGTGTTAGCCAGCCTGGTCAATACGGTTCTTTTGTTTCCTACCGGTTAATATTACATGCATGAAAAATACATTGAGTTGGGAATGGTATCATGATCAGAACACGACAGGCCTCAGTCCACGTCGATAATTTTAAATAAGGTCACGCTATTTTTATCGATTTTTTTTTTTGCTTCATCAAAAAAACAAACCACTTGTATATGTCTAGAATACTTGTTTTTCTGCGTTTTACTTTTTACAGAAATCTGAGGTTAAGTTCGATTTCCTTTAATTTTCTTTTGTTTACAAACACTTACAATATTTTTTCTTTTTCTTATAAAACAGGATTTTTTATCTTTTTGGTTTTCATCATTCTAATTAGCATTGATTTATTTACGCAACATTTATAAGATTGGTGAATCATTTTCTTTATAGTCACCTTGGTCAGTGTTTCTGTGGAAATAATTCCCTTAAAACGTCGAAATGAAACAGAAAGTACCTTCTTTAATAACTGCTCGTGACCTTATCCATAATTTCTATAAGGAAGGTATTTCCATGTAAGATCTTACCCTCTACAAAAACACATTTCTATGAACTTTTTGTGTATAAAAAAACCCAACCTACAATAAGGATTTTACCAAAACAAAAACGGAATATTACTCATACAGATGATACGTGTCCATTATATATTTAATGTAAGGTATTTCGGACGTATTTGCCAATTTACTGTTTGCATATCGAATAGGGAAAATTATCGTTCATTTTTATAATGCTCAATCCCTCGTAAAATGTTTATGACTTCAAAATTTAATGCCTTCTTTATAATAGTCAGTATACAACCATAGAGTTATACACAGGCTATACTTATTTATATATATACATTTTCTTTTACAATAAAATATTTCCACTGTTAAATTGTAGAGAGATATAGAAATACCACTGTTCAAATAGTGCTAACTACATCAATTGTAGAGTGATATAGAAATACCACTGTTAAAATAGTGCTAACTACATCAATTGTAGAGTGATATAGAAATACTACTGTTAAAATAATGCTAACTACATCAATTGTAGAGCAATATAGAAATACCACTGTTAAAATAGTACTCAATACATCAATTGTAGAGCGATATAGAAATATCACTGTTAAAATAGTGCTCAATACATCAATTGTAGATCAATATAGAAATACCACTGTTAAAATAGTACTCAATACATCAATTATAGAGCGATATAGAAATACCACTGTTAAAATAGTGCTCAATACATCAATTGTAGAGCGATATAGAAATACCAGTGTTAAAATAGTGTCCAATACATCAATTGAAGAGCGATATAGAAATACCACTGTTAAAATAGTGCTCAATACATCAATTGTAGAGCGATATAGAAATACCACTGTTAAAATAGTGCTCAATACATCAATTATAGAGCGATATAGAAATATCACTGTTAAAATAGTGCTCAATACATCAATTATAGAGCGATATAGAAATACCACTGTTAAGATAGTGCTCAATACATCAATTTCAGAGTGATATAGAAATACCACTGTTAAAATAGTGCTCATTACATCAATTGTAGAGTGATATAGAAATACCACTGTTAAAATAGTGCTCATTACATCAATTATAGAGTGATATAGAAATACCACTGTTAAAATAGTGCTCAATACATCAATTGTAGAGAGATATAGAAATACCACTGATAAAATAGTGCTCATTACATCAATTGTAGAGCGATATAGAAATACCACTGTTAAAATAGTGCCAATACATCAATTGTAGAGCAATATAGAAATACCACTTTTAAAATATGCTCAAAACATCAATTAGAATATTAGAACAGAACCTAAAATAACATATTGTTGTTACTCAGAGTTTCAAGCTGTGTATATATTTTTATGTATATAACTCTATGACCCTATATTCTATATAGGTAACAACATAATAATTAATGTAGCGGTAACATTCTGCATTGTTTTACATTGTGATAAGTTCGATCGAAAGTAGGTCACTTTCTGTCAATGATGCAATAATCGTGTCACATGCACTTTCTACATCCCGATACATCAGTATTGCTATTATTATTGCTAGTCAGCCAGCCATGCTCATAACAGATTTACTCGAAATGAAAATGTAGGGCTCATATCATTTGTTTAGTTTGAAATTGTGATATTACGAACATGTTACCACAGAAAAAAGTCAGGTATAGGCAGGAAATCAATGGTAGTGTATCGTTCACTAGCCATAAACTGTGTGTGTGTAGATATTGAAGGACAAAAAATAAACTCAAGGCGGTGTGGATATGATAACGTAACGAAGTAGGCACCTTACGTCATGACGCCATCTTGAAATTGCAAATGTCGTAATAATGCATTCAAATAATTTTCTACCTTTCCCTAAAAATACCATTGTACTCATTTTCCCCGTTGTAGAGAAATTTTCAAATGGTAAATACAGGGAAACGAATGATATTTATTTCCGCGTGCCGCCATTGAGCAAACTAAACGTATTCAGGTCATACAAGTTCACGGTACCACGTGACCAACTCTGTACCAGTGTATCGGTGTGGACATGTTATGTAATTCGCTATTTTCGTTTTTATCCAACTCGTGTGTCCCTAAAACCCATAAAATGATGTAAGCGAGGGGTTATATGGGGTCAGACAGACCGATGAAGAGTATGTTCAGGGTTTTAGAAGACTATCTTGTGGATTACACGGTAAGTGATGTTAGTTTTCTGGCTATAACGCTACGTCTTTGTGTCCTACTATTAGCCTTCATTAAGCAATCTACATTTTTTAGCATGTAACGTTATGACGTCATTTTCGGGGTGTACAAGTGTGGGTTATTGGCCATATATCACGGTAAAATGTGCGTTATTGTTAATGTACACTTTATTTTGTTGTATTATTGCATTAAGACGTCTAATAAGCTGTACTATTTTTAGTAAGTGAATTGAAACGAGGTCACAATCTTGCTCTTTTACTTGCACGCCCAAGCATTCGAACTCATTTACTATCTCGTGTTCATTGAAAGAACATCGTGTATGGCGATTGTATTGTATACATATAATATATTAGCCTACACATTCATATACTTTACTAGCGTTCAATAACTCATATTATTCTTCAAAAAATTTAGCAGTGAGGTAGTTTATTCTTACGTCATATATGTTTACTTTGGAACCTAATGTGCTATTAATAGCGGAAGTTATTACGCAATAGTGTGAATGCAATAGAAATAGTTCGCAATGTTGGATTGGAATACAAGCCGAGTTGCGCAACAATTACGGTGAGTTAAGATAGCTATTTTAAAAACGTAGTTTCTGTGTCCCTCCTACTTGTTTGGCAAATGATGTCATTTTAGTTTATGTGTTCAGCGGAGATAGTTGTTCGGGTTTAACCAATTAAATTCACCAGTAGAGGTTCATGGTCGATTATATTTGGTTTTTGCTTCTGTTATGTAATTCGTGTAACTTTGTTATATAATATATAAATTTATCAGCTGTGTTGGAGATCTGCAGTGAATGATTATTGAAGATTTGAGATACTTGAATCGAGTGTAAAAATTGAATTCGGACAGTCCAGTCTGTTTGTATTGACCTGCTTTCAACTTGTTTTTTTCTACATGTGTTTTATGGTTGATGGCCTGGCCGTGTTGAGATAGAGCCAATATGGTGAAAGCTAAGTAAGTATAGTATAGACTAGTGGCCTGGGCTGACCATCGGTCAAGGAGAAAGAGAAATGTTTGATATTTGAGCTAAATGCCGAATGTAAACGGCGAGTGGTCAATCGACGTGGACTTTTGTTTGATTTGCTCTCCACGCCTTGCGCCATATTACAATTGTACTATGGATTATATTGAGGAAAATGACCAGGGTTATGGCGATAGGTTATGACGATAGTTATTGAGAGGTGATCAAATAGCAATTTGCTTAGATCCAAATATAAATTATAAAAATTATTTCACTGTAAATATAGTGCTGAATACATAAATTGTAGAGAGATATAGAAATATCGCTGTTAAAATAGTGCTGAATACATTAATTGTAGAGCGATATAGAAATACCACTGTTGAAATAGTGCTCAATACATCAATTGTAGAGCGATATAGAAATACCACTGTAGAAATAGTGCTCAATACATCAATTGTAGAGTGATATAGAAATACCACTGTTAAAATAATACTCAATACATCAATTGTAGAGCGATATAGAAATATCTCTGTTGAAATAGTGCTCAATACATCAATTGTAGAGCGATATAGAAATACCACTGTAGAAATAGTGCTCAATACATCAATTGTAGAGTGATATAGAAATACCACTGTTAAAATAATACTCAATACATCAATTGTAGAGCGATATAGAAATATCGCTGTTAAAATAGTGCTCAATACATTAAATGTAGGGCGATATACCACTGTTAAAATAGTGCTCAATACATCAATTATAGAGCGATATAGAAATACCACTGTTAAAATAGACCTCGATACATCAATTGTAGAGCAATATAGAAATATTAAAACAGAACCTTAAACATGTTCAAATCAAAATATACATTTTTTCATAGAGCGGTGATAAATTCTTAGTTCAGTGACTTAATAAATTAGCTATTGATGTTAACAATGTACCACTGAATTAGACTTAGTTGCACTATAACTTAAAGCGACGAACCAATTTTGCCGTAATATTTTGAGAAATATTTTGCTATGGAAGCCACTGATGTTTAGAAATAGCTGTATCTGCCTCTTGTATATTCTATAAGGGTTTACTATGAAAAACTCTAAAGTATTTAATGTCAATAATTTGAAATATACTTTTCATATTGAAATTCACGAAGAAAGTTACATATTTGAACGATTTTGATTTGGTTTAAACATTAAAGTTGTCTTGTTGTAGAATCACAACCTTCGAGATGATGGCATGCGTTTCATTGAAAAAAAAAACAACAATATTTGATTCCTTTGTTTTGTATTCGAATTCCCATTAATGAACGTTCCATCGATGAGACGTAGGCTACTGAAAATTATTTTTTTTTATTGTGTAAAATATGCCATAACACTTTATTCTTTGCCAGTTGCGTATGGTTGTGAATAATGCAAGTGGTCACTCAGTTGCACGAGGGTTGCGTTCGACCTCTATTTTTATTCTCAACCACACGTACCTGGTATCGCTCTGGTGCGAAGGTATAATGAAACTGTCGTAACATTAGTACATGATTTACTCATTGACAAACATAAATTTTGAAGCGTTTTTGAATAATTACTTACTAATAATAATAACCTACTTGACTAGTTTTCTTTAGAAATGGTAGAATTATATTTAAACTTTCACGCATTGTTTTCTTTCAACCACTAAAAACACTGTTTTTATGAGTTAACTTCATATGATTTCGTTATGTTCCACTAGATCTAAATAGACGCATTAGCAAGGCTGTTATTATGCAAAAATTTTACCCTTTTAAGTGCAAATGCATGACTAATTTTGTATCTTATATTTTAATTTTTTTTATTTAATCGTGGATATTTAAAGAGTACATGTTACTTTGACATCGAAATAAAAGTATTGACATTTAAAAGTGTAAAAGGACTCGTAAGATTGCAAGATGAATGCATTTTATGGATTCAAAAGGGGATTCTAGCCTTCTTTCTTCAGACTTCCGATAGTAAAATATAATTTACTGTTTTTACTGATCATTCTTTGGATTTACGATTTTTTTTGTTTGACATCTGTCAATGACACCTTACATGAAAGTAGCTTTAGTCGACGTTTATCTTTGGTCGACATGCCCGTAGCATCGGTCGTAACATAGGTTTTGTCGACATGGCTGCATCTTCGCAGCTTTAGTTGAAATATATGTACCGTTGTTCCAAACAGTTGTATGTTTGCCAAGAATTGTAACTTTGATTGGTATTTTAGCTTTGGTCGATACGTCTTTAGCTGTTTTTAAAAAGCTTAAGAATCGAAAAACGCCGTAGCTTTTTAACAGCTACCTTGTTAACACCAAACGTTTCGACAAATTATTCTAAAGACGGCATTTGGTAACATTTGTTGTTTGTCGATGGTAAAGCATGGGACAACAGACTGTTTACTCGTTACGAAAAGTCGACATATCGATAAAATTGTATAAGTTTTACAACATGTGGATTTTTATAATGGCTTTGTATAGATTCTGTAAAAAATTGCTTTCAAGATCATGTTGATTTTTTATAGATATTGATTTTGATATTTGCTTCCCTTTATTTTTATATAAATACTGCAATCACGTGTTAAGCAAGTTCTGTTTTTGGCAATTTATTTTATTCAGTAATTGAATTCACTTACTTAATTGTAGCATGGTTTACACAATTATATTATGTTGTCAAGGCCATATAGATTATCTTTACTTGTTTACAAGAAATTTACAAAAATATATATATTCTTTTCAGTATATAATTGCATTTTCATGATAAAGTTTAAACAATTAATTTTAAAACTGAACATAGTCTAGGTCGAATCAGCGTCACAATTTCACGGTATTGCGGTAATGTCTA